CTCAACTACAAAAATATTTCGTCTTCCAAAAGCCGTTGAAATTGGTTAAAAACAGTCATTTTACATAGGAAATAGATGGTCTAGTTTCCGGGTCTTCGATTTTCCAAAATTTGGTTGGCTTATGTTATATTTTACTTACAGGCCTATTCTGTGTTGGTATTAAAAATTATGTTACCGGTAAATATAGATGCTGTCAATTTGTAACCCATTTTTGCGTTCTGTGCGCTCTTGTAACCGGAAAATTTTGTTATCATCTTATGAGCAGGTAACAAAATATTGCCCCGCGAATTATGCAACACCTGAATTTCTACAAATAGCTGAATTGCTGAATAAATTAAAACGTTACCAAGGTATCTAGAATTGCGGTTATAGTGGCCGATCTGTGATAAAAGTCGGACTATTTTAAACTTTGTAGATTATCCTCTTCAGTTTCGGTAGCCTTTTTTGCAGTTTTCTTAAAAAACTTCATTTTAGATTCAGTATGCATATGTGGTCCAGCTTTCAACAAATTAATTTTTTTTTTAAATACCTCGAAAATTCTCAAGTGCAAGTACTCGAAATTACTAAATTTTTGAGGAGTTACTTTCAAAGTGATTTTATTATTCTCCCGGCAACTTAATTCACCATGGACGCAATTGCATTCGTTTTTTAGTTGCTTTGCATGTTTTTCACTGTTATCAGCTGAATTCTGCGGGCTGATCCTCTTCTCATTTCACCTTAATAGCTGCAATTTTTTGCATACCCCTCAGTTCTACGCTATTTGTAAATGAAATAATGACAAGAAATATCGGTTGCATTTTACTACCTTTCATCCAACGGCACTGCCACAGCACCCAAAGCAAATATGTACGTACATTTGTACATACCCATGTAAATATTTGTTTGAATCCCTTCCAATGTTTTGATGTTTATTTTCATAAACTTTTCATTTTGCTTATTATTGCTATTGTTGTTGTTGGTTTTGTCATTGCTACTGCTGCTGGTTAAAAATTGCATATTTGCGTGCTTGACGCTCTTATAAAGTTTCCTGCCAATACAAACACTAATGCGTCAGCTGCCGCCATTGAAGTACCTACTACATACATATCTATCAGTTGGTGTAGTTTTTGTTGTTTAGAGACGATGTTTTTTTTTTTTATCGTCTTCGCCTTCTCATGCGTTTGTCTTTATCTTTGTCTGCACGTTTGCTTTGTTTGACATTTGATATGTCACACAATTGCAATGTTGCATCAATTTAAGTTCGTTTTTTGTGCCAACGTTTCGGCTTCCTGACTTTCCAGCTTCACTTGTTTCAGTGGTAGTCGTAGTAATAAGCAACCATGTTGCCAGACACCCGTTTACCTATCTTCGCCTTCACCACTACTCGATTCTTGGTTGCAACATTTTATGTGCTTTACTTCTTATCATTTGTCGGCGTCCTTTCTCATATGTATGTATGTATATGCCATGTTGTCGCGTCTGTCCGATTACTCTTCTCCTCCTTCGCGTGCTGTCGACTGTTGCTGGGTGGTGTAAGAAGAAGAAATGCTGCTCGCATATACATAAATGCGAAAGAAGTCAACAATGTCTGTGGCAGCTGCAGTGGCAGCAATAAGTGGTTGTTTACGCTGCCAAATGCCAACACACAAATCGCAAATTCAATTCATTTTTTATAATACAAAAATGAAAATACACACACATGCTTTATGTGTACATATGTAGATGTATATGAGCTACCAACAAACATACATACATAATAAAATATGAGGGTCCATTTTTTCTTCATTTATTTGTTTGCTCGTATTTTTTTTTTTTTTGTGCATCCGCTTGGGTTGGTATTTTGCTCACTTATTTTATGTGTATGTTTACCGCTTCTGCGTCAGGATTATTTTTCACATGGATGTGGAAGCTTATATTTGCACACATACATACATAAATGCGTACACGCGAGTTTGCGTTTGTGTTGTGGCAAAGTTTCAAATTATTTCACTAAGTAGCAGGAAATATGAGCAATTCCTTTGTGTGATTGCAAGTGTGTAGCTAGGAATACGCTGCACAAAAATATTTTTATCAATATGTACTCATAAAGTCATAAATACAAATAATACAAGTGTATGTTCGTTAATATGTATGGATATGTGTTAGTTAATCTTTTGTTTGTGTAGAAGAGATTTCCATCTATGATTTCGTATAAAGAATTCTTAACATTGGTTTGCGAATTACAGCAATGAAACGGTTTTTGTGCGATATTAAAAAATTTTAAGCTGTGTTTGTATGTACATACATTGTACACGTGTTTGTGTGTACATATAGTATAGTACCTATGTGTTCACTTCATGTGAATTTGTGGCATAAAATCAGTACTGAGAATGCAAAGAATTTAAAATTGGTTTAGTTTTGAAGCCCCCTGTACATTTCGCATTCACTAAGTAAAATTATTTATTTTTTTGTTAAGGTAAATGGTTTTTATAAGAAGTTTTTTTCGTGGTGGAAGTAGGTACACCCATTTGTATTAGAAACAAACTTTTATTTTTTTTTATGTTGTGCGGACCATAGCCCAGTGGGAAAAATGGGACTTTTTTCTACCACGAAAAGATTAACGACTACGATTGAACGAAAAGTTGTAATGAGATGTACATATAGTGACGAACAAAAGTACTAGCACAGTGAATTTTTCGCAATATATGCAAAGTTTTTTATTCTTATTTATTTGCGATAATTTTTTATAAAAAAATGGTTCATAGTCCAAAAAAAAACCAAATCTCCAAACTTTGTGCAAAACTCAGGAAAATTCAGTAAATTAGTAACTTTATACTCAGATTTTTCAGAACAATTCTAAGAATGCAGTTTTATAGCCCAGTCGATTTTAGTATAAGAAAGTGCAAGTTTAAAACTCCTAAAAAATCGCGTTGATTTTTTGCAATTTTTTTAGTCGAAGGTGTTGCTCTTTTTTTCCATATAAAAAATAATTGTGGAACATACTTTATATGGAAGAACCTGCGTGAAAAAAATCCCAAAAATCAACGTGATTTTCTATGAATTTTAAACTTGCACTTTCTTATACTAAAATTAGCTATAAAACTTCGCTCTTAGAATTTTTCTAAAAAATCTAAATAAAAAGTTGCAAATTAGTATGGTGTATGTACCATATTTTTATAAAAAATTATCGCAAATAAATAACAAACCAACAAGACAAACTTAGCACAGTGCGTAGGCCATTGGCTGAGTCAGTGGTGATCGTCGGTTCGAATCCTACTGAAAGAAGTCTGATGAGGAAATGTGGTGATTTCCGAAATAGCTATCACTTCTACTGAGGCCCATCTGATAGCAAGGACTTTTGTATGAACTCGAACGGAAATTTGAGTTTGCATGAACAATGTTCTAAAAAAATTAGCAACAGATTTAGAGTAGGGCTGCCAGACGTCATGGCTTTCCAGGATTAGTCCTTGTTTTAGACAAATTGTCCTGGTGTCTTCGTTCACACATACATTTTCCTGTTTTTTAATGAAGGTCAATGCAGAAACCCATTTCATATTTGGCAGATTTTTGCTATGGAAAAAGGTAAAGCTTTGTTTTCAACTTGTTTTTGTTGTGTTACATTTATTAACTGGAACAGGATAATACACTTTCCTCAAAATTGCTGCTTTTTCTGCATTTTGCACAAAAAAATTTAATATAATCAGATCAAAATTCAGAAATCAGGCTCAACTGGTGTCTTGCAAATATTGTAAGCTTTCATAAAACAAAATAAAAATTAATCAAAAGAAGTGAAAAATTAAGGCTCCAGTGAAATACGAACACTAAATGCCAGTTTTGGATCACTGTGCAGCAGGAGGTTTATTGTCGTCTTTCAGTGGAACTGGAAACTCTGCGTGCAACACGATCCTGAGCACAACTTTCCCTGTGCTTTATAGATTGCACAAAGATAACCGATTAAATAGAAACCCTTAAGTTCTTATTTTTTATATTCTGCGTTTAAAAATTTACCTCTTAAAAATGCAGAGCCGATTTAAAGGACAGTTTAAGAAATAAAGGACAAAAGCCGGTCTTTATTTTGAAAAAATAAATAAAAGCTTATAAGGATAAGGGGTTAAAATAAAGGACGGATGGTCACCGTAGTTATAATAATAGATTGGCGCTTGCACATACGTTAGTGATTGGCCGAGCTTCTCCTCCGATTAGTGGCGTGCGCCTTGATATTGTCCCATAAAGCGAAGGGACCTACAGTTTAACGCCGACTCCGAACGGCGATTGTATTTTTATGAGACGGCGACCGCTATTAGAAAAAAAACGTTTTTGTTTATTATTTTTTTTACTTTGTTCGGAAACCGGACTCAAACCCAGGCCTATTATAATAATTTTTAATTTGTCTTATCAATTGCATCGTTTAAATTTTATTTTTTCCAATTTGGTTGTTTGGTAGTTTTTTCTCTGATTTGTTTTTTTTTTTTTTTTTTAATTAGCAAAATAATAATAGCAAAATTTTTCCTTACAAAAAGTATGATTGCATACTGAATGCCCAAAACGAATAAATGAATTTTTCAAATTCCTTCGAAAATGTAAAATGTAAAATGTATCCGAAAATGGAAACCATTTCGTATAAATCCCCAATGTTTCATTTGTTTTCCGATTCCGTTTTCGGTTGTTTTTCTCTTCAGTTTAATATGTATATTGTAATATTTAATGAGTCTTATCAACTAAATTAAATAAAATTTTTCCAAAAATATTTTCAGCTGTTAGCCTTCTTAAACCTCTTTCTTTTGCCACCCACATCGCACTTGTTACGTCGTCTAATAAAGTTACTTAAACTGAAATTTTCAAACTGGTGGCAACTGTAATTTTTTTTTAACCATAAATCGGCCCTACTTTACTATATATGTATATATATTTTTCATGGCCGGAAGTATACCTACATATAGGCGATTTTTTTTTTATTTATGAATACTTTAATATTCTCAGCGTATCGAAATCTTGTAAATTTTCATTTTCATTATGATGGACTTGCTTTTTTTTTATTTCAGGCTGTTATCAAAAAGACGCGAATCACTTGCAAATGTCACGGCGTCTCGGGTTCTTGCAGTTTGATCACCTGTTGGCAACAGCTATCATCGATCAGAGAAATCGGTAAGAAAATATACTCATGAATATTGGTAAATATTTATCTATACATACATATATGCATATTCTTATATATGTATATATGATACACGATCATCAAAAGTGTATTTACTCGAAAATTTCCGTTTGTCAGAAAAGCCAAAAAAAAAACCTTTCTGAGCTTATATTAGTAGAGCTCTAATATTTTAACACCCAACTAATTTCACTGATTCGTGTGGAGTTTTATTTTACTTTGAATACGCAAAATGTTATATCATAACATCGCTAAAATCAAACAATTTGGCCCTGTAAAATCTGTCCAAAAATTAAGTAGAAATAAGATATAAGATACCTACGGAAAATGGAAGTGGATTTATTTTGAATTCAAAATTCATACTATTTTTCCCTAGGGATATCTCTGTAGGCAAGGTAGCTACTTTACCTTTCGCTAAAAATCAATGGCTAAACACTGCGTACTAAAAAAAATTCCAATTAATTTCAAAAGTTAAAAATTTAAAATCTCATTTAAAGCAAACTGCAAAAAAATGCATTCCAAAAAAATATTTACAACGGAAGGAAAAAAATTTTAACCATCGTGTGCACCCTGCAATTTTCCAACGGCTGCATGAAAATTTTTTATTGTCTCAATTTCTCTACCTGCACTGTTCAGACACAAATGTTAGTTAACATATTTAGTAAAGAGCAGTCGATATGGTAGAGAACTGTGATTTAGAACTGCGTTGTCGACACAAGTATAGGCAGTAGAGTCACTAGAGGGCGCCAGTAGCGATGTCGGCAATGAACTCACAAATGTTAAGGTTAACATATTTTCGGATTAACATTTCGCTAAGTAATGTTAAAAGAAAATGAGTAGGTACAGACATTACTGGATTTTCGATCCATCCTATGACCAACAACTTAAACTAAACACCTACATAATAAATGTGTCGCCTCCTCCTCCTTTTTATGCATTGTTCGTTTTGTATTTACGGAGCGTAATTAAAAAAAAAAATTATTTTCATTTGTATTACAGGTGATTATTTACGAGAAAAATACGAAGAGTCTACCGAGGTGAAACTCAACAAACGTGGACGACTACAGGTGAAGGA